AAAAAAAAGGTACAGCTCGTACTAATTAAAAGAAATCAACGAATCCAAGAAAAAGCATTACCAAAACAAAAAAAAGGAATCCAAGAAAAGGAAACTTGGTGGAGCTTCAACTTGACTAGGAGGCTCAGCAAAAATCTGCTGTCCATTCATTCCCCTCCCCTTAAACGGTTAACCACTTTTCCTTTCGCTCTCCATTCCATTTTGTTTTTACCTCCTCCCTCAACTTCCCCACTCCTCAGCCCTTCCTCAGCTGAATGCATCACCAAGTCATAGCCCTCAAATCCCCGACCCCTTTTCCCCACCACCACCGGCAGCCGCCAAGCCCTTCTTCCCTTGGCCGGCTCCTTGTCCTTCCCATTTCACATACCCTTCGACCGAACAATCCGTCTTGCTCCATCGTCAGCTGCCGGGGAATTCATACCCCTGTCCCCAGACACCTCCCTCATTCTCTTGCTTCCTCCAACGGTGCCCTTCACGACCGTAAACCCGTAGCTGTCAAGACCATCGATGTCGCCACACTTGGGAACCTCTGCGTCGATATTGTGCTCAATGTTCCCGAATTGCCCCCTCCGTCTCGGGAGGATCGCAAAGCTTACATGGAACAGTTATCTGCGTCCCCTCCTGATAAGGTAGAAAATTTCTTATCTACAGTTTACACATTCGCTTTTTGTGATTTCTTCAATTGTTTTGAGGAGGATCTACTGAATTATGTTGATTGCACGAATCGATTTTGTCTTTTTATTTGTAAAGTCAGTACCTTTAGCTGTTGTTTTATTACATTTGAACCTTGATCATGGATTTTGGGTACACTGGCTCAGAAATACTGGGAAGCTGGTGGTAACTGCAATATGGCTATAGCTGCTGCAAGGTTGGGGCTTAACTGTGTGGCAATAGGTCATGTTGGTGATGAAATCTATGGGAAGTTCCTCCTGGATGTGCTTCATGATGAGCGAATTGGTACGGTTGAGATGACTGAAGAAACTGATTTTTTCAATGGTTCTATTGCTTCATATGAAACGCTTCTGTGTTGGGTGCTTGTGGATCCTTTGCAAAGGCATGGCTTTTGCAGGTGAAGTTATTCTAATAAAACATTTATAATTAGGATATTTCTACAAAAGCATTCCTTCAATAGCAGTTTCATCATTCATCCTAGTGTGTGCGTTATGGCTTGTTATTATTGTAGTCAATAGTCATTGTTCATAGGCCAATGTCTCGGTTGAAAAGAATTTGACTGAGTGTGCTTATTCTGTTTTCTAGTCGAGCTAATTTTAGTAAAGAGCCTGCATTCAGCTGGATAAGTAAACTTTCTGAACCAGTAAAGAGTGCCATTAAGCATTCAAGAATCCTCTTCTGCAATGGTTATGACTTTGATGAGTTCTCCCCAAATGTGCTAATCTCAGCTGTAGACTACGCTGTAGAAGTTGGTACATCAGTCTTTTTTGATCCTGGACCACGGGGAAAGAATCTTTTAGCTGGAACACCAGAAGAGCAGAAAGCACTTGGTCACTTCTTGAGGATGAGTGATGTCCTTCTTTTGACATCTGATGAGGTTTGTCATATTAATTTTCACAAAGTGAAATGGAGATTTTATTCAATTCTTCTTGTTGTTCATTTACTCATATATTTTAGGGTTGCACTTGTCACTCTGCATATGTCTGCATCTTTTTCTGTTCTGCTTCAGTTTTCTGTTTTTAATGATATTAAATGAAGGATTAATAAACAAGGAAAATAAGAAAAAGTTGAAGGTGCCATGACATCCTACCGTATGGTGATTAACTCATCTTATCATACATTTTTGATTTACTCATATTATCATACATTCCTAAACTCAGAAAGCTCATACTTAGAGACAGCTGATGCATGAATGATTGTATATACCAAGTGCATTTGTGGAAGGCACTCTTTAAAGATTGTGACAATATGTTGCCAAGAATGCTTGTGAAACTATGATATGTTATATTTGTTAAGAATTGAAACAATTTATTGATGGTTAGTTGAGAGTTGAGCATCATTAGCACGGACTTATTTTGGATTTATAAACAAGATTAGTAAATACAAGTACGTACATACACATTTTAGGAATCAGGATGTTTATGTATGCTACCAACAAGAGCTTGGCCAAGTTGGTACTCACTAACCTAACAACCTTGATTTAGGGTCAAGGTCAGGGGTTCAATCCTCTGCAAGGTGTTGCATCTAACTTCTGATGTACCAAAAAAAAAGGGATGTTTATGTATGCTTCTTTTCTTTGGAGTTGTTGTAAGTGACTATTTTTCCTGCTAGAAAAATATCTTTTATCTTACAATGTTTTAGCTAAAACTTCAATTATAGAATGCTGATTAAGTTTATAAGATCTAAGTACTGAATTTCTGCATTCCATTAGCTGCACCCTTGATTATAGAATTTTGATTAAGTTTATAGGATGTAAAGTACTGAACTTCTACATTCCATTGATTCATTAATAGAGTTATCTGGGGTGCTCCTTAACCTTCAGTGAATTTATTTGCTACTTCGTAGGTTTTTATCACTGTAGGTAGTATTTAGCATTTTACTGCACCTTTCATTGGTTATTTGAGAGTAAATACTACATCCATCCTTTCTTCTATATTATATTACTCAACCTAACATCCTATATTTATTAACTTCACATCTGGCAGGCTGCGTCATTGACAGGTATCAGAAACCCAATATTAGCAGGGCAGGAGCTATTGAGTAGAGGAGTATGGACCAAATGGGTGATTGTAAAAATGGGTGCCAAGGGTTCAATTCTAATTACCACATCTAGTGTGACTTGTGCACCAGCATTTCAGGTACAAAATTGTAGTTCCAATGTTCAATATAATGGTTTTTGTTGCCCATGAATGACTATCAAAGACAATAACTTGCTAATGTTTTTCATGGCAAATAAATCTCATGACCAAAACCAATTGAATGAATTTTTGCATTCACTGTTTCTCATATGGAAGCAGAAGGACCTTCACACTGAGCTTTAGCCACTAAGAAAATGGTGCCGATGCCTTTCAGCCTTACCTTCATACTAGAAATGCTTGTCTTCTATTCCAAAAACATTTGTTTCAACGTTTGTATTCAATATTCAAAGTTAAATCTTCCTTGAAGAACATGTGAAGTTATAATTAGCTGATCTGAGCAGCATTCTAGCATGTCTCAGTTTCTTCCTGTGTTATTTTTGCATTAGCAACAAAAGATTCTGACTTCTATTTGAAATTTGATCAGGTGAAAGTAATTGACACTGTTGGATGTGGGGATAGTTTTGTGGCTGCCGTTGCATTTGGTTTTATACTTGATGTACCACTCATTACTACACTAGCAATTGCAAATGCCGTAGGTGCTGCAACTGCCATGGGTTCTGGTGCTGGGAGGAATGTAGCAACACTGAAGCAAGTAATAGAACTCATGAAGGCACCAAATCTCAACGAGGATGATGAGTTCTGGAATGAACTCCTTGGTGAGCATTTAGACACTCAAGAGATAACTTTTCTCGAAAAAGTGGTCATAAATGGAAGTAATAACAGGATGAAACTCATTGCATTGCAAAGGGTTGTTTCAGATCTGCTACCTAAGCTTGAATCTGTGCAATTTGAAGGTAAAATCCCTTCTTGATAGATTGCAATGCAATATGGAAAAGAATTTAGCGTTGGATTTGGACCACTAACGTCTCGATATTACTAGAGAAAAGTTAGGCTAAAGTTTGCACCATATTAGCAGTTTTAAGTGATAGTTAATTGGTTATATACCTTATCAAAAAGACGTGATGGTTATACCCAATACCCATATAGTTTAGTGGCATTATTGAGAGCAATTGTGAATTGGACTTCAAGAAGCTTTTTGCATACACCGTTTTTTCGCTGTTGCTAAACTTGCTCCTTAGGCTGCAGATATTTTGATTGTGATATAATTTTTCCCAAATTTATGAAGAAAGATTTGGCTCAAAAAATTTTTTTTTTCCAAATTGCAGATCGTATATTTGTCACCAAAATGTGAATTCCAAATAGTTTTTTTGAGTTGCAAAAAATAAAGTTATACTTGTCTACAAATTTGCAGTGTGTATACAAACTTGTACTAAAAGGTCAAGTTGTTCACATCACATGTCTACAAAATAGCTTCTTTCTTTCCCTTCTTGCAAGATAACCAGGCTTAGCTCCTTATTTAAGAATTCCATGCTCAAACTTGATTCCATGAGAAAATAATAAGACTCAATGAGCCCAAGTTTATGTCTGAGACTGACTCAATATTAAATTTCAAAAAAGAGTTAAATTTCGTTCTGGTAAAGAAAAACGAAAAAGGATAAACATTGTCTGTACTTTGGGAAGATAAGATTGATTTGAAATGGCGTAAAATGTACTTGAAACAATAAGATAAATTCATAATGACATTGAGCAGACAGGAACTGGAAATATGAGGGCTTCCTATCCTAGACAAATTTGGTTTGAACTTGGAAGAAGTTGGTGACTGAAAATCTTCCAGGCCAAAACTTAGCAACCATAATTGGTGCCGTGCAATGCTCCATAATCTCCAGCCCCATAATCTGGATGGATTGATCCACCTCCTGGTTTATGTACAGGGCTTTCAGCTTCAGCCATGAAGTTCTGTATTATCGTGCAAGAAAAGAAACATAAAATGAAAGACGCAACCGTTATAAGGATGAATAAAAATGAATGAGACAGGAAGAGATTCCAAAGCTGCCACGTGAAATGACCTGTATCATCTGCTGAGCTGCTAGAACTTGAGAAGCAGATCCGTTAATTTCAACAGTCATCTCCCCAGGTACACCCCTTGTTTCCAGTACTGCAATAGCAGCACCACTAGCACGACGTATATAACTTATATTTGCACCGGACGGCCCAATTACAGCATCAGCATATGAAAGAGATATCTGCATGTTTTTTGTGACCTGCAGAGCATAAAGTGAAGAACTAAGAACAAAAAAAGTTCTTACAGGAGGAAAGTGCACATAAGAGAGTTAACCACACAATCACTAAATCAAATAAGCCTGCGATGGCATGTGATGATTATGCCAGAAAACGGTCAACAACTACTGAAACTACTATATTATATGCTAGATGATGCTGCTTAAGGAAGTAGGTTTTCCAAACACATAAAAGAGAAAAATTGGCAACATATGACACTAAATAAGTTAATATAAAAACTATGTTCTCAAGTAGATAAGAGAGAAAATGATGTATATAAATACAGAAGAAGCAGCAAGAAGTATCTGGGCTAAAGTAAGTCAGTAGCTCAGCAACAAGGTTATACTAAAAGGCCATTTCAAGGGAAGTTCAAAGATTAGTTTCACTTCTCCATCTTTAATTTATATTTAACCATTCAATTTACCAGAGCGACCAGCGAAAACCTAGAGTGTGAGATATTGTCTGTTCTCAACACAGGATGCATAACGTTTAGCAGATGTTTACTGGCTTACTGCAAGATATAAGTGCAAAAAGTTTTTCACTTTGCACCTTTGTAACAACTGACTCTTGTGCCTGTACATTTGACAAGTGACCTCCGGTAGAATGATCCCTTCCATATGCTGTTGGATCCTGATGGGGATACATGTCAAAAGAAGGTTGACCATGATTTGCATAGTAATTGCCAAATTGAGTTGGTGGCTGAATAAATAGAGTATTTGGCCCAAAGCCAGGTTGATCATCAGGATTCATATCAAAACCAAGAGGAACCCAAGATTCAGGCATGGGTGTAATCTGGTTTGCTCTGGCTTTTGGCATTTGCATCTGACATGAAATGGAACTTCTAATAATTAATATACATTATAAGTACGCACACTATAATCAGCATAAAAACAAATAGCATTTGCAAATGGTAGACAATACAGTCAAAACAAAAATTTTAATATGAACAGTGCAGTTAGCATCTACTCTACTAATTATACTGGGAAGAATTAAACACCATGAAAAAGGTTACCACTTGGACTTCCAGCCCAAGAAACTTGAAAGCAAAACCTACATTGCAGTCCAGTCTGAACTTTAATGTTATCATGAAGAACATAAACTAGAACCTGTACAATTAAAGGCCTGTAAACAACTTCTGAAAGCTACATGATACATATCCTTGACCTGAGTCAACCAATCATCAAGGATAATGAGCTTACTTGCATTTCAAATACTCCAATTATGCTGCGGTCAACCAAGTACTTCCGGAGATGGCTTGCAATTAGCTCAACTGCTTTGTGCACAGCTGCAGTTTCACCTTGTATCTCAACAACACTATCATTTTGCAAAGCAAAAGGTGGCAGGTGTTCTGTTGTCATGTTGTGTATCAGCATAAGTTCAGTGAGATAAGAGCAAGTTTATTATTCAGAAATAAGATAAAATGGCCAAAAAAAAAAGAAGAATAATGCAAGACCAGGAAACCAGCTTTTAATGTTATGAACCATGTTCAACTTACACCATTCCAACCAACACTGTAACTGCCATGTTATAATGAAATTGTAGGACTTATGGTTTCATAAAATACCTGATCCAAGAATTCGAACTGAGCAATTAGAAGCTTCTTTTATGGATTTTATAGTGGATCCCTGCTTTCCAATCAAGCTCCTTGCTTGATTATCAGCCACTAGAACCCTTGTTATAACTGTATTCCCGGCATCTGTTGTTTCACTGGCCAGATCAACATCTAGATCAACAATTCTTTTATGAACTCTAAGCAAAGCATCCATGGCAGGAGGAACAGGAACATCAGGCTTTTCTTTTGCAGAAACCAGGACCTAACAAAAAGACAAAAGTAATAGTCAAGCTTCCAAACTATAAAAGCCATTCCTGTAGTTGTGTGCTAAGGAAGTGGTAGCTTAAAATTTGCAGATAAACCAAGCCCTTTACAAAATCCAATAGAGCATATAAACATAGGTAAAGTAGTTACAAATTACAAACTAAAATTGAAAACTCAATTGATCCAATGTGACATCTTTCAGTTAAGTTGCATTAAATACTCAAACCCAATAATATATTATGTAACAATCAACAAAGAACCTGAACTTAAGTTACAAGAACAAATGCAAAGAAGGCAAACATTGATTTACAACAGATAATTCTGAACTATAGCTAGGTTAGGGATTTTTATGTTTTTTATTTAAATAAAATAAATAGAGAGAGAGAGAGATGTTGATTCATTTTCATACTTCAAGATAGTGATTTTTGTACTTTAGAATGTTTTGAATATCATTTGAGAAATTTTTATGTAATTCTGCATAATTTTGGGGTTGGGGGGGACTTCTAGGATTTTCTATTAAAGAGTTTAACAATATGATATCAATTGACCAAGTTCTGAAGTTACCAGATACAGTGCAAAACTACTTGGAACCATATCCCAGAAAAGGCATTTCTGATTGTTAAATCAAAATAACTTTTCAGCACTTGCAGGCTCAATGTTGCTCCCTGCTATCTTGATCTTTGAACTTCTAGTTTGAACCCACTTTGATCATTGGTTTGTTGCCTTAGATTTGCAAAGGACCTGCAAACATTGATTTTGGTTATTGTGGAAAAACATTTGTGTTTAATTTGTCATTTTTGGTTAATATTACAGTAGTTTTCTCCAGTTACTTATTAAATTTTGCCCCAATTAACTTTTTCTACAACTATGTTTAATTAACAACAGTTGTTTATTACTTTATTTTAGATGTTAAACATGTTCAAGATATGATTTGTAGGATGAAAAATTTTTTCCAGGTAATATCCTCCTTGCCAAAAGGACCTGTAAAATACAGCTCTCTCCAGTCAAAGAGACCTTAAGTTTTTTTTTTTTTTTTTTCTCTTAATGGTGTTACAGATAAGAAATTAATCAGTTTCCAATATTATATGATGATTTCAGTGTCATTGGTTTCATGCCTACAGCTCATATTTTTCAGAACATCTTAGAAATGTACCACATAAAGAGAAGCAAAGCCTCGTAGGCATCAAATACGGTAAAAATCTAAAGGGAAAAATGATATCATATTTCAGTATTGTCATCACCAACTACAAATGTAAGTAAAACAAGTCTCATGCATTAGGAACGTGTCAATAAATATTAGGTAAATAATTGATTAATCAAAAGACAATACATTCAGGTTAAACGTAAATAAAACACTACAACAAGACATAAAAATTTTCATATGCTTATATTTCCTTTAATATTTACACACCGCCTACACAATATGTAAAAGGACTCAGAAAAAATATGTAAAGGGACTCACAGCTCTTTCTGAGATCCCAGGAGGACCATCAAGTACTTTAATCCTAGCCCTTGTCTGCTCAGCAATTTTCTTAACAAACTCCCCTTTGCAGCCAATGATAACACCAACTTTCTGCACAGGAACCAACATCCTGAAAACGTTCTCTCCAGGCCATCCTGGCCACTTTTTTCCTTCACCTCCTCCAGAATTGTTTTCAGGTTCTTGTGCATGCAGAGGTTGTGTAAGCTCAGGCATACCACCTGCATTGGATTGATCAAAATCTTCTCCAGCCATATGCTAAATTTCCTGTGAAACACAAGAAAAAGAACTAATCAATATAGAGTACAGTTTGCAATTGCAAGACCAGCAGTGTCAAACAAATAACAAGGCCACGGCATTTGCAACATTAACAAGAAGTTAGCTGCCAATTGCCCCTGGTCCAGTCCCTTCTCAGCATGCATAAGGAAAAATACAAAAAGGACGAAACTGTTTATAACTCTCTTCCCTTCGGGCAATGTTACCATCTTTTACACTTTGATCATGGAATGAACTCCAGCTTTACAATCCAAAGTTAATCCTCAATGTGTGTTCAAAAATGAAAATATGTCAATAAATTGCAGGTAAAAAACATTATGAATCATTATGAATCTTAAACCAACCATTTCAACAAAAATAGAAAAATAATAAGAAGAAAAAAAAAGAAGGATCAAAATAAAGTCGCAGAATCAGATTTCCAAGGCCACTTAAGGGTTGTGACTCACAGGCTATCAAAAACCCAAATTACTAAATTCCCACATGCCAAAACTGTAGAATGCACAGTGCTAACAATTAATTCATACTAACTTCTTAACCATTACCCCCAACCAAAAAAAAAAAAAAAAGTTTACTTTGAGTCATAGTTAAACAGAATGAAGCAAAAATATAAGTGGGAATTAGATAAAACCCTGTTTAAGACCAATTTAACTCTACGTAAGCTAAAAAAAATCAGGTGCAACAGCTTTCTGTTCCATGTTCTTTCATTTTCCTCCAGTTTTAAAGCAACAAAAAGAAAGAAACCCATAAAAACAAGTAGAAAGCACCATAAATAAAACTAAAATCAGCCCCAAACAGAAACCCTAATCGAAAGAAATCTCAAAGCACCAGAACCCATATTTAAGCATATTTTACAGCCAAATAGAGCCAACACATTCCTAAAGGAAACAAACAAAGGTTACAAATAAATGGTTCAGAGAAAATTAGAGGGATTGAGGGAGAGTTTTTGGTTACTCACAGAAGATCTGAGCGATGTAAGGGTAAGCAGAGAGAGCAGCGAATGGGCGGGATGACTGAAGGAAAAACGAAGAGGCTGTGTTTTTGGAGAAAACCAAACGAAAACGGGACTTTACGTGGAGGAGATTCTCTTATTTACATTTTAGTCCTTCAAGTTTTAGCATCTAGTCTTGGCAAAGCCCGACATTAAGCTCACAAACTTACCCCATATCTCAATTAAACTCTTGAATTTTTATTGAAACAAATAAACTTCTAAACTTAATGACTTAAGAAAATTTAACTTTCTTTCTTTAAAGTGAATTTAATACACATTTATAGTTCACTTACGTAAATAAAATATTAACATGTCATTCTATGCAAATAAAATACAAACAGAAATTAAGTTTATCATAAAGACAAAGGTTAAAAGTCAAAGTGCCTAAATCATTAAATTCAAAAACTTGTTTGTTTCAATAAAAATTAAAAGGTTTAATTGAGAATTTGAAATAGAGGCTTAATGTAGGGTTTCACCTTTAATCTTTCTCTCTCGTGCTCTTTCGTAAATTCCTAATTGATGATTTTTTTTTTTTTTTTGTTAACAGATACTTATGAGTTTTTACTTTGTGTTTAACTTTCATTTATCCTAATGGTTCTTGAATATATTGTCAAACATACCATGAAAAATGCATAGCAAAAAAGAACTTGTAATTTGAATTCAACAATTTCATTCATTTATAATGAATCATGACGTATACAACCAACAAATATAAATAATTAATTGTTATTGTGTTCTTTAAAGTGATATGAGTATATAAGTGAGGAGAATATATTAACCAATAATGTTATTATTAAAGAATATATTTTTCATGAGCATATTAAAGAATATGTTTTTTTTTTTTTTATGCTGGTTGCACAACAAAAGGCAACACTCTTTACCTCCCTTATTTCAATTTGAAATGCTAATGACTTAAGTAGTTCAATGATAATTTCCTGCTCTTGTAAATAAGAGGTCTTGAATTTAAGTCGCATGACATGCAAGTGAGGTAGTAACCATTAAAGAATATGTTTTTATTTTTAATTTTGTATGAGAATGTTAAAGAACATGGTTATATCATAAGGATTGCAAATTAAATCCTTGAATATGTAAAATGGTTGCATTTACAAATTTAGTCACACCCGTGAATCTTAAAAATGGACACCAAGCCCATTTCAAATTGGTCCACGAGAGTGGTTCAGTGCACAAACTGGCCCATGACGATAATCATATCCCAAGATTTGCAACCAATTCTTCCATGTAGCATCCCGAAAAATAAAGGAGAAAAAGACCTCAATTTTCTCAGCAAAATTCTCAAAAGCTAGAAGTTGCCCATTTGAACTCATGCACTGCTCTTTTTTTAATAAAATGTCATCTCTATTTTCTATATGACTCAACTCAATAGTTGAGGCGGAAACTACAAAACCCTAACCATCAAATAATGAGAGACTTTGATTGTAATTAAATCTTTTTTATTCAATACTTGATGTTTTATAATTTAAATTACAAAATATTTAATATATATGTATATATATAAAGATATTAATATTTATCAATTGAATATCTAAAAAATTAGAATGAAATATTTTTTAAAAATAAGTTATTTTAAATTTTTTAATAATTTTTTTTTTTGCCGAACAATAAAAATTTATTGAAATGATATAGTTTCATGATACTTTTTCTTTTAATTTTTTAGATATCTAACTAATAAACACTTTTTTCATATATAAATTATAAGAGAAAAGTAAAAATCAAATATCTTGTCATTTTAAATGCCAAGACTTTGTGTGAAATTTTTTAAATACTCTTAATTAATTTTTTTTATTCATCAAACATATTTTAATTTTTTTCATTATCATTATTGACATTTTAATTGTCAAAATTTCTTAGTTTTTCTCAATCCTTAAATTACAATAAATATATATTTTATGTTCAGTGATAATTACTTTTCAACAAGAACATGCTTAACCATTAAGTTAATATGGTTCATTACCAAGTTTTGAGAGCCTGGTGCTCTTCACCTTTAACCAACAACACCTTTATTTACAAAGGAGTGTTTGTTTTGAATTTTTATAAACATTATTTGTTCCTGATTTTAATTAAATAAATTAAATATGTTAAATTATAAATAACAATAATTATTAATCATTAAATACAAACTATCAACTATCAACTATATCAAAAAAATTAATCTAAATAGCCCCAAAGAGAGCTACTGCTAGTTGTCTGTAAAACTCCTCCTCTAAAATCGCGTATGGTTTCTTTTTTTCTCTTTTTAAGAAAAAAAAAGAAAAGAAAAGAAAAGAAAGGGAAACCTGCTTGAAATGGGGAATCAAAGTGCGTGTATTCCAAAAGATTGAGTTTGACTACTATGGCCACTTTGATATCTCTATTATGCGGAAAAGATCATGATACCAGTTGCGCTTTTTAGTTCCCAAGCCAATTATTGTAAATCTATTGTTTTTGGGGACTAACTGTGTCAAGCAAAATATCTTTTTTGAACCATAATTGGTGCTTGTATGAGAATGGAAAGGACCTCAAATTTCCAATCAAGCATGCAGGTTTTCATTTCCCAAACAATTTTTCAGATTGAGGAATATGCAACGAACTGACTTTAAAAACTCAAAACTTGAATATTATAATAATAATTAGATACTTATATATCACTTATAATTGTATTTTTTTCTTGATGTGAGATCAGGGATTGGGACTTTAAAATTTCTTATCTGTAAAGGCAATATACAATTCAATATATGATTAATAATATTAGACCTTTATTTATCAACTTTTATTGTAAAATTGAGGAGTCAAGTTCAAGAAAGCATAGGAGATGGAATAGTTGATCAAGCTTGCGTGTTAGGGATCACTTTTCGTTTGTCAACTTCTAATTCCCTTTATTATACATAACATATGATATATATACCAGAATCTGAAAAATCAAGACATCCTAACATCAGGAATCCCATCATAACTATCCGATAAATGGATCTCAGTTAAGAGCCCATTTAATAGATGATTATAATGGATGTCTTGACACTAAGACGTCTTGATTTTCACTTTTTCGTGTGTATATATATATAGTCCTTAAGAGGCTAATGTATGTTATAAGCTTGGGATTGAAGCTTGGCATCTAGGTAGCACCATTGATGAAGGTTCTCCTCCTCCCACACCATCGCTTTACCTTAGTGGCAAGCAAAAGATATCCTTTACTTGAGACTTGAGAATAAATGACAAGTTCAAATTCATCAAGATCCACTGGCTCCACTAACCCTTTCACATGTATACCAACTTAAAATTCAACTTCTAGCTAGTCAAAAGTTGCTTATTCACATACACCAAAACTATAAGGTAATTGCAATATATATGGAATTAGAAATATCATATCCTTCATAGCAAGTAGTGGTGGCAACATCAATATGAGATTATTTAATTAAGAATTCTATGTAACATAAAGCGGAAAAAATGTGTAACAAGACAGCACTTATGTAACCACACTACTAGAGAATATAATATTAGCTATCATACTAATTGGAGCATTAACATTTAAATTATTATACTAATAAATGACAACAAAAATTACTCTCTTTGCTGCATGTTATATGATTCAAAATAAAAATATACATATAGAAAAGAGCTTAAAATTTGACAACCTAAATAAATTAAACTAATTCACTTTACGTTATAGATTTATTTATAGTATGTAAATCGGACTAGATTAAATATTGATTTACACTTTCAAAAGTCAATTATATTTGTTATAGGTGGTACTATAGGGACAACCTTTTTGTCTCATCTTTTTATATAATTTTCACATGTCATTAAATAAGTGGATGCATTCGATATCACGAGTTCCACATGAATTAAACAAATGAATTATTTTAATAATATGTCAGATTATACAAAAAAAGTTGTATAAAAATCATTTCCAATTTATTATAGTATGTTTAAACTCAATAAAAATTCAAACTGGACTTGAATCATTTAAAACACTACTTATAACCCCTTCGGTGGTTCTCTGC